GTTGTTATTATGTTACATAGATGTATAGTCACAGACATTTGTAGATGAGGTCTATATATGCTGTACTTATGCTCACACATACTTCTTCTTGTGTAATACTGACGTATTTTATTTGTTACACAATAGCTCAAGAGTTTTGCTAAAAAACATGCAATCAAGAACAAATATTTCTATTGGATTATGTCTGGAAAGAAGACCTAGTGGCTTTAGGTTTCTGTGTGCGCTTGCATGTGTATAAAAATATAAAACCTTAACAGGACTTTTTTTTACAAACGGATGGGCGGTGTCCATGTTGGAAAGGCTTTTCTAAAGTCAAAGGAATCTTTTGCTAGGTGATTGGTAGCAAATGACTTGTAAGATGAGTCAAAAGCTAGGCCAGCGAGGCTGAATGAGAGAAAATACTCATTCTCTAATCCATGCTCAAGAGTGTGGATGGAGGAATCTGCCCTGCCGGCTATAACTAAATACGCAAACTGTGGCTGCATTTATTTGGATGCAGTCCCTGTTCAGCCAACAATTTTCCACTTGACTTTTGCAATCCTGCTGGAGCTGAGAGGGACAATCGTGGTTTGAATTTCAGCCAGTTCAGCAGCATTTGGAAGAAATTAAAGCCATGGAGGCCAGATCTGGCTTGAATATGTTAGGGGGGGATGGGCAGGACAGAGCAAGTACATACTCATAGAGAGACAAATATAAGTGAAGTAACCTATAGGCCTAGAGCACTGTTGGATGTGCTACAATGAAAACGTTTTAGACTAGTGGTCAGATATCAATCTAGTGTAAGCACTCTGAAAATGTGAACCTGGAGGTTAGGTACAAGTGAAGAAACCTCTTACTCAGGGATCCTGGCTAATAATGCAAACCACTCATGAAAGCCTATCTCCATCTGCCCCTCTCCCCTCTGAGCTTGTAAAGGATCCAGTTCTCTTTTTTTTTTTTAGGGGATTATATTTGTTTTGAAAAAAGGGATTTGTGTTCCTGCCTGGAGATCCGAATATTTGTAGTCACCCTATTGGAGTTTGCGTAGCTGCTTGTGTGTACCGATCCGTAACCAGGTTGATTGATGCAAAGGAAAAAGGAATTAACTCGTTAGGAGATAACAAGTTAGTAGTGGTCAATTTAGGGATCCGGACAAGCGAGTGTATTGTACAAAAATTAGTTTTATTTGAAAAAGATATAGAACATCACACTTAGCTCCCTCACCACCATTAAAACTGAATAAAATACAGACAATCATAAATTGTATGTGGATCGATCCTCATAAGCATTTGATATAGATTTCACCGTAAGGGGTAATGACCGATGTATAAATTATGTCGGTCTTTATCCCTTCGCGAACTAACCCATCCGTGTACCAACTTGCAAGGGCCGTATGGACTGGGGGGATATCCCAGGAGTGGGAAAATCAGGTGTGATTATACTATGTATTCCAGGGTGTAGGTGGAAGGGAGGGATCTGGACAGATCAGTAATAGTGATTCTGATTTCCTCCGTTTGTTATGAGATTTTATCATATAATCAAATAATGATATAAGTGTGTTTCCTGTATAACAATCTTCTTAGTTTGGAATGATGTATATTCACTTTCCTTTCAATTTATTTCCCTTCTTTCATTTATCTTTAAATTACAGTCCTCCTTTAGTTTGATATTTATGAAAAAGAGTCTTCCTTGATTGGGTACCGTTGGCTTCAATTTAGCCGTATGTGCAATTGACCCTTTCCTGTTCGTCAGCCGTGGGGTACCATGGTGGGAACGGTGAAGTGAAAACGAACTTACTGCTAGAGACAGAGGGGGAAGGGGAAATTTTTTCTCCTGGACAGACTAACACATTGGACTGTCTTCAATGCTTCGCCTGACTTCAATCTTCTCTTTCTCTACAGTATTGAATTTTAAGTGTAGAAGGTATGGGATTTTACTTCAGAGTGATATTTCAGACAGTGTCATTGACGGGCATAAAGTATAAAACTTTTTGTCACTCACGTTACTGAAGTTTTTTCCCTTTATAGTCCGGGCGGTTTGAAGATCTTCTCCTGTGTAGTCTAGTAGTTCATTCAGGTGTGTGGACGTCTTTGTTATTTCCTCCAGGGGATGATTTGTTGCGATCTGATCCCCAACAGTGGATTCAAGGGATGTTTCCACCTGATGGATCTTTAGACAGTTTCCTGAATGTTCTGGGTGTAGTCTGTCCGTCACTGAGAACCCCTAAATCCCAATTTGAAGCTTCGCAGTGTTCCTTGATATCTGGATTGTGCATCCACTTATTGTATGGTGATTATGCGTCTGGTCTCTGTCTATCTGTCGACGCGTTTCGCCCCTCCTGCTATGCGGGGCTTCGTCAGGGCATACTCTGAGGTTGGGAGAACTGTTTCTTAAATAGTTAGATCACGCCTCTTTCTTCCTTTCCGTTCATTGGTTCAGATTTTAGCGGATAGTTTCCCTTCCTCCAGGTGAAACCACTCGTTGGTTTCATTAGACAGCATACGAATAAAAATTTGCATATGTAGAGAGTGTTTCCCACACAGCCGTGTTTGTATACAGATTTTCCCCCTTTATTATCAATGATATGTAAATGGTTGTCAAAGGCAATTTGACCCCATATGGGTAAAAAGATTACGAGAAGATGTGCATCCATTGCTAATTTAAGCTAAACATGTTATCTTATAAAAATAAGAGGATGATTGTATACTAGCTCCTGTTCCCATTAGCCCAGATGGAGACATGCATAGGACGGGGCCCATGGGGCTCCCATCGAGGTGCCTCTAATCTGTTTATAGAACATTCCCGAGAATTGAAAGTAGTTGTTATAGAGGGCATACTCAAGTAGTTCTACAATGAATTCATTTTGAGTCGCCATAAATGGAAAATGTACATCTAGGAAATGTTCTATGGCTTTTATTCCCCACTCATGAGGGATCGATGTGTAAAGTGATTCCACATCAATCCCAACTAGAAGGGAGCCCTCCTGTATTACCAGATCGTTTATTTTGTTTAACACATCTTTAGTATCCCGGGTATAGGAGGGTAACTGTAATACCATTTCTTTTAGGAGGGAATCCAGGTATTTACCCATATTTTCAAGTGGTCCTCCTACAGCTGAGACTATAGGTCTTCCCGGGGGATTATTATAGTTCTTATGAATCTTGGGTATAATGTAAAATGTTGGAATATTATAGTCTTCTATTTTTAGGAAGTGGAATTCATTATGTGTAAGTAGACTTGCTTCCCTGGCATGTTTTATCTTGTTATTAAACTCACTAGTCAATTTTTTGAAGGGAGATTCACTTAATTTAATGTATGTATTTTCGTCATTTAATAATCTTTTAACCTCCTTTATGTATATGTCCTCCAGGAGGAGCACTACATTTCCTCCCTTATCACTACTTTTAATTATTATCCCTGTTGCTTCTCTAAGTTCTTTTAGGGCTTCCCTTTCTGGTTTTTTCAAGTTGTCTGTGCCTCTTATTGTCCAGTCTATTTGTTTAATCTCTTTATGTATTAGTTCTCTAAATAAGGCCAGGTATCTATTGCTCAAAAAATTGGGCATTGTTTTTTATCCCTTCTTCAGGGGGGTGGTCCTTTTTGTTAGTGTTTCCAAGGGTTCTTGGGATACGATGTTTTCCTCCAGGAGGTCCTCTAGGTCTTTTAGTGCTTGTGCATCTAGTTCTGATGTGTTGTATTCTTTTTTCTGTGATGTGTCCCCGTAGGGTAGAGGTGTCTTTCTAAGTTGGTGTATGTATTTTAGGTAAACTTTCCTCAAGAATAGATTTAGATCTTTGTATATATAGTAAATTCGTCCATGCCATCCACTGGGGAAAAAGACAGGCCCTTTTTTAAAAGGCTTAAATGATGTTCATTTAGTGGGAAGTCAGTCAAATTAATCACATTTTTAGTCTGTTCGTCCCCCAGTGGGTGGCATGGAGTCAGGTCCGACGGCTCCTCGTTCTCACACTGGCTCTGGTCTGAGATTGTATGTTTTGGCTGTTTATGTTTTCTCGTCTTTGGTCTTCTATTTTTCTTGGTTTTTTTTGTTTGTATGGGGGGACCTCCCCTTCCAATAAAAAACTCACTGACTTTGGGGGTTCGCTTTCACTTCCACTGGTGGAGATATCTCTAAAGCGTCTCTCTCCACTGGTGGAATATCTTGATCTAGATGTGTTCCTGCCCCTGTTTTGTAAAGGTTTAAATGGGTCCCTTCTCTCCCAGTCTCCTATGTCTCTCTGGAATTTTGATTGTTTTATTTGTCTCAGATTTTTTGGGGCTTTTTCTACTTCCTTGCGTAATAGATCATTATGTTTTAGGAAACTTTCTGCATCTTTTAATGGTTCCCTTCGGAGCTCTCTTTTATTTGTATTTCAAGATCTCGCATTTGCAGCCTTTCTTCTTCTACAATTAGTTTAATTAGTGTTAGACCGTGTTCTATGCCCTGTGTTTTCCATTTGGTCAAAAAGCGTTCATTTTGTAGGTGTTCCGCCGGTATGACTCTTTGACGTGGCTCAGGTATATTGATGATATACTAGTGGTGTGGAGTGGAGGTGAAGATCTACTGACATCTTTTGTTAAGGATCTGAATATTAATAATAGGAATCTAAAATTCACTTACACTCAAAGCAATACACAACTTTCTTTTCTAGACCTTTCAATAGAGATTAAAAATCAAAAACTAATCACAAAAACATATAGAAAGGAAACGTCAGCAAACACTCTTGCGACAAGCCATCATCCCCCTCCCCTGAAACAGGGTATTCCCACAGGCCAATTTTTAAGAATAAAACGCAATTGCAGTGAACCTGCTGATTTACCTAAGGGAATCCAAAGACCTATACAAACGTTTCAGGGAAAGGGGATACCCTCATAAACTAATCAAAATCAAACCGCCCGGACTATAAAGGGAAAAAACTTCAGTAACGTGAGTGACAAAAAGTTTTATACTTTATGCCCGTCAATGACACTGTCTGAAATATCACTCTGAAGTAAAATCCCATACCTTCCACACTTAAAATTCAATACTGTAGAGAAAGAGAAGATTGAAGTCAGGCGAAGCATTGAAGACAGTCCAATGTGTTAGTCTGTCCAGGAGAAAAAATTTCCCCTTCCCCCTCTGTCTCTAGCAGTAAGTTTGTTTTCACTTCACCGTTCCCACCATGGTACCCCACGGCTGACGAACAGGAAAGGGTCAATTGCACATACGGCTAAATTGAAGCCAACGGTACCCAATCAAGGAAGACTCTTTTTCATAAATATCAAACTAAAGGAGGACTGTAATTTAAAGATAAATGAAAGAAGGGAAATAAATTGAAAGGAAAGTGAATATACATCATTCCAAACTAAGAAGATTGTTATACAGGAAACACACTTATATCATTATTTGATTATATGATATAATCTCATAACAAACAGATTCCACCTATATCCTGGAATACATAGTATAATCACACCTGATTTTCCCACTCCTGGGATATCCCCCCAGTCCATACGGCCCTTGCAAGTTGGTACACGGATGGGTTAGTTCGCGAAGGGATAAAGACCGACATAATTTATACATCGGTCATTACCCCTTACGGTGAAATCTATATCAAATGCTTATGAGGATCGATCCACATACAATTTATGATTGTCTGTATTTTATTCAGTTTTAATGGTGGTGAGGGAGCTAAGTGTGATGTTCTATATCTTTTTCAAATAAAACTAATTTTTGTACAATACACTCGCTTGTCCGGATCCCTAAATTGACCACTACTAACTTGTTATCTCCTAACGAGTTAATTCCTTTTTCCTTTGATTATATTTGTTTTACCTGCTCAGAGTTTGGTTTTAAAAATGGAGACTTGGGGCATGCACCCTAGGTACCCACTACAGTAAAGAAGAATACAAGGTACTGATTGATAGGTGTCTAAAAAATACTGGCCAATGAAACTATATATTGTTTCATTATATACCCTTCATTACATTTAGAAAATAACAACCATCTTTTACCATATATTTTATAATACAGCAGAACGTGGTTCACTCTTTTATGTCGTCAACTTACCTTTTTCCACCAAGCCAAATTGAGATTTCAAAATATCTGTTTGTGAGATTGTCGGGTCAGGGACTTCTACTGGCTTCACTCCAGCTCTTATTCTTGCCTTGTAAAGTGACATTTATAATCAGGTACAATCAGTACAAATAGCCCATGATACAATATATAGTCCTTAGATTTGGTGACTGCATTCTTTCTTTTTTTTTTTTAGTCTAAGTACATTATCTGCAGTTGAAGAAGAAAAAAACACCCGTTGATCTTGTCAGAAATCTTGTTTCGGTGCCTGTGTACGGAACTGAAATTTTAAACAAACAATGTTATCAGCTTTCCCGGCTATCTTCTGTGAACTACAAAACAACTACCCCTATGTAATGAAGAGCCCCCTCTCTTCTCCATTACATCAAGGGTAGCTGTTTTGTGTTTGTAGTCCAAATCAGAAGGGCAGAATAGTGGCATAGAATGTAGTGAGGAGGTTTAGTCGCCCTAGAACAAGAAGTATGTTCCTGGCAGGATTACCAGGTGAAAATAAAGGAAACAAATCCTGACTTTTTGGGTTTAGAAACATTCAATGGCTGCCCATCAGTGGGAAATGTCACCAGCTATTGATACTGCAGGAGAAATCTGAAAATGACAGCAACATGTCCAGGCAACCTAAGCATTGGGTAAAGCATAGATTAACTAAGTCTAACTACAACTTCTTTTAATGGAATAAACTCATTACCTCTTCACAGACATTGTACCAGTTAATGCAAAAGATGTAGGGTATATAGATGCAAATTTGCAGCATTAGCGGACAAAACATTCCAATCCATAGACCTTGAAGACAAAACATGCATTTGAAAGATTCAGCACAAAATCTTTGCAAAAAGAAACAAATGGTAAAATATGTTACATGTTAAACATTTTCATTTACAGTTTTATCAGAAAACGGTTTGCCTTGAGAAGTGTTGGATTGTTTAGGAATCTTTCTCGCCATGTATTTTTTTGTAAAATAATAGCTTTATTAGCAAATTGCAGTAGCCAGACATTGCAGAGATCCCTGCGCTTCTGGGCACTAGCAGTCACATGGTCTGATATGGCTATAGTAAAGCCCTTGCTTCTGACCATTACTGCCTATTATTACCATGTGAAACTCTGGTCATGATTTTCTTTTTCTTTCTAAAGCTCTCAAATGTAAAAATTTTAGTTCTTCTTGATTCTTGCACCTCTCAAAACAATGCCAAGAAGAAAGCAGAATCTTATATGAAAATAACTACAGCAAAGACCAAAAAAAAGAATTGCAATTTAACAGCAAAGTAAAACATTTATTTACCCAACTATTTTTTTATTCTTTAACACAAACATTTATTTTTAACAAAAGATCTGAAAGAAAAATAAAGCTATATAGGAGAACGAATACACTAATGGTCTTGCTACAAGTTGTTTATTCAATGTGATTCTAATATAAAGAAATGTGAGTTTTAAATACCAAAAGACATGGGATAACCATCGCCTGTTTCACCTGCTTCAGCTAGTTTGGGACATTGACATATGTATGGTAAGCCCTCCCATCTACCATCTATCTATGGTGCAGAAGGACAGTTAAGTGTGCAATGTTGAAAGTTAGAAAAGGTATCCTGCTTGCTATTGGTACTTGAAGTGCCTGCACTTAAACCCAATATGATATAAACACAAACATAAAAATATGAACGTTCATCTTGTTTGAATGTCTATTGTCTAATGGTGGTGCTTGAGGGCAGTTAGACTCTTCATGCACTTCAGACTGCTATCAATGTGTGAGAACATTATAGACAACTGTAAACCACATATTTCCAGATTTAGGATACACATCCAATAGCTCTCTTAAGTGTATTGGAAGCCTTAACCTATAAACACAGAAGCTGACAGCTGATCCTATATCTATGGGCATTCCTCGGATTTGAAAAGGAATAGCTAGTGGAATAATTGCTATTGGGTCAACCATATGTGTCTGGCAGCAGCTTCCTCTCCCTTCTACATAACAAAAACATGCATGCTTGGACAGACAACCTCTGGTCAATATTAATGTAGCTGTCAACTCTGCACACATGTGAAAAGGGACCATAAGAAAGGTGCCACAATGTTTTTTTCCCCACCTCATGGTGGTATCTGGTACGTAGCACAAAAACCTTTACTGTGTAAACACCAGTCTAGTGCTCTTTACTATGGATCACTGCTGTTGGAAGGAGTGCTCCTTTTTGGGCACCCATCTCAAATGCACCAGCATTGCTGTGGATCATATAATCTGGTCAAGAGCAATAATGTGCAGCCAACACTGGACCGAATGCCTGTAGACAGGAATTGGCTGAAGGAGACCAGCTGCACTGAGATACAAAAAAGGTAAAACTGTATTTTAAGAGAAAAAGAAAACCCATGATGATAGTTTATGATGCAGTGTGTTTAGCAAACTAAGGGGGTTATTCCCTAAGCTGCTGAAGGCAGCCGAGTGAATCACCGAGCCGAAGAGAAGGGAGCCGAATGCTATTTGGTTAATTACTTCGGCCCTGTACGGCTAATTTCAGCCGTACATTGGCTAGAATCAACCGTACATCGGCTGGCTTCGGTTCAGGCGAAGTGAAGAACGCATTTGAATCAACTGATCTAACATCTGGGGACTCATAGGGGCCAAACGGCAGTGAGTGAATAGCCAAATGTCACCGAGCGGCATTTAACTCTGTTATTCTTCTCGCTACCTCCAAGGTAGCGAGCAGAATAAAACAATTACACGTTAATAAAAGCTTGAGGTCCCCCTACTGATCCATAACTGATCCTAAAGGTCTGGTAGGAAAGCTAGGAGGAACCCCAAGTTAAAAATGTTAGGAACCCCCAAAGTCATATCAGGCCCTTTAGGAGTGGTAGTATTTTTAAGGAGGAACCCCACCCCCAAAAAAGGTGTAAAAACGTGGGGTCCCCCCTAAAATTCCCAACCAGACCCTTAATCCGAGGGC